ATGTGCATTTAATGAATATATATATATATATATATATATATATATATATATATATATATATATATATATATATACATATATATATTCATAAATGCACATGTATATATATGTATATATATACTTATATGCTGTATGTATAGATAGATAGATAGATAGATAGATAGATAGATAGATAGATAGATAGATAGAATGATATAGATAGATAGATATAGATATAGATATAGTACACACACACATAAGACCTTGTTGTAGACATCCGCGACTCATAAACATCACACACTTAATCTTCATATATGACCGCCAACATCAACAACACTTAACTGAAATGCGCAAAATACGCGTGAAACTAGTCGGCAGATCGAGACGTTTATATTTCAACATTAGATTTAAAATGGCCCAGTTGATCAGAAGAGAGCTCTGTAATTCCAAGAGAACCCTACTGGACTGAAAAATAATAATAAAAAAATACAATTTATTTCATTGATGTCAATATACTGTGTGTATATGTGCGTGTGCGTATGTGTGTGTTTATGTGTGTGTGTCTATAAGGGAAAATTAAACAAATCATGTTAATAGATTTTGATATACTGTACATACGTACATACACACATATGCACAGACATATATATATATATATATTTACACAGACACGCACACACACACATATATACAGAGAGAGAGATAACACACAGAAATACATGCGCACACACACACACACACACACACACACACACACACACACACACACACACACACACACACACACACACACACACACACACACACACACACACACACACACACGCACACACGCACACACGCACACATACACACACACATATATATATGTATATATATATATATATATATATATATATATATATACATATATATATATATATATACACATGTATGTAAGTGAAGGATGAAAACACTCTACCGTGTTGATACTATGGTAGAAAAACCCACAATGTAAAATCTAGTTATATACATATATACACACACACATACACACACACACACATATATATATATATATATATATATATATATATATATATATATATATATATATATATATATATGTATGTATGTATGTATATTCAGGTGCCATACAATGCGAAGACCCCTTACTTCACACCAAAGAAAAACGATCAACTATTAAAGAAACAAATAACACTAATAATAACCGAAACTCATCATTAATACCGCGTAGCCGGTCACCGTGCACTAATTCCGTACTCATTTGGCCTATAAGCAAAAGCTTACAAGCGAGTCTATTTTATTAACCATAATCTCGGTGCGAATAACTTGCGTCCATATGCCGTTTGCTGAATCCTCTCGCTGTCTCGTTTACAACAGCAAAATCATTTTATTGTAAGAGTTGCCTCGTTTGGAGCTATAAGAATTGGGTTGTGTTAGCTTCCTGTTTATTTCATTATGTGGGATTTTCGTACAGGTTCTTGAAATTAAGATGGGCATTCGGTATAAATCGATATATCAGAAATGATATTAAATTCTTGAACATAGGCGTATGGTGAAAATGATAACGATTTATGTTATTTTGAATACCAAGTTGACAAAGCATTCGAATATTAAGGGAATAACAACATATTATAGGGGAAAAAATACACGAATTTACGAAAAGAATTTGAGTGTGGAGAAAAAAGTAAAAAAAAATCAGATAGCATTTATATTTTTTGCAGGGTTATTCCAAAGAATAATGGTTAGTCAATGTTATGTTTGTGTAAAAAAAATGTAATAACTATTCAAAACTTCATTTCTCATCACGGAATGATATGACACTTGATAAAAGTTTGAGGTGGCGTGTTTTATAAGTTATTTTATCATTGTCACTACTACCATCATCATCACCATCATCATTATCACCTTCATCTTCATCATCATCATCTTCATCACCATCATCATCTTTATCACCAACATTATCATCATCACCATCATCATCTCCATCATCATCATTACCATCATCACCATATCATCATAATCATCATCATCATCACCATCATCATCATCATCTTCATCTCCATCTCCATCTCCATCTCCATCTTCATCTTCATCTTCATCTTCATCATCATCACCATCATCATCAACATCATCATCTTCATCATCATCATCGTCATTGTCAACACCACCAACATCATTTTCACCGTCACCACGTGAATTTAAGCAATATTTACATATTTCATCATGTGTCTGTCAGCATATAATACATTTTTTTTTCATTATTGTTTCTAATACCATCATCATCATTATCTTCATCATTATCATCAACATCCTCATTATCATAATGATATTCATCACTATTATCATCATCATCACCACTACTAACATCAGCAGCACCACCACCACCACTCCCATCAACACCATCATTATCATCACTACCAACACCAACCACCATCATCAACACTATTGTCATCATAACCACCACCAACAACACTAGCACCACCATCACCACCACCACCCTCACCATCACCACCACCATCACCACCACCACCCTCACCATAACCACCACCATCACCACCACTTTCACCACCACCCTCACTATCACCACCACCATAACCACCACCATCACCACCAATATCACCATCACCACCACCACCACCATCACCACCACCATCACCACCAACATTTCCACCACCCTCACCATCACCGTTACCACCACCACCACCCTCACCACCACCATCACCATCACCTTTACCACCACCAATATCACCATCACCACCACCATCACCACTACCATCACCACCACCATTACCACCACCACCAATATCACCATTACCACCAACAACAACAAAAAACACTAATATCATCACCACCAACACCTCCATCACCACCACCACCACCATCACCACCAACAGCAAAACCACCACCATCACCACCACCACCACCACCATCACCACCACCATCACCACCACCACCACCATTACCACCACCGTCACCATCACCTTTACCACCACCACCACCATCTCCACCACCACCATCACCACCAACAAAAACCACCAGTATCATCACCACCAACACCTCCATCACCACCACCATCACCACCACCGTCACCATCACCTTTACCACCACCACCACCATTACCAAAACCCTCACCCTCACCTTTACCACCACCACCACCATCTCCACCACCACCATCACCATCACCCCCCCCCCACCACCACCACCACCATCTCCACCACCACCATCACCACCACCACCCCCACCACCACCATCACCCCCCCCCCCCACCACCATCTCCACCACCACCATCACCACCACCACCCCCACCACCACCATCACCCCCCCACCACCACCATTACCATCACCACCACCACCATCATCACCACCACCATCACCCCCCCCACCACCACCACCTCCACCATCACCCCCACCGCCACCACCATCACCCCCACCACCACCACCACCACCATTACCATCACCACCATCACCCCCACCACCACCACCATTACCATCACCACCAGCATCGTGTTATAAAAGTAGGGTGCGGTGTGGTGTGACCTGACCTGACCTGTGGTGTTGACTTTTAATCCGCCAACGTCCATATCTGTCTGTTATTATTGTTAATGTTTTTATTGTAGTTATTCATCGGTTTATTCTATTGTTGTTATGCCTACTTATATTCTTGTGATCATCTTTACGAATTTCGTGATTGTTATCATAGTTACGATATCATTATCATTATCATTTCATTATCATTATAAATGTTATCATTTTATCATTGCTGTTCTTGTTCATATTATTTAACATTTTTTTTATGATTATCGTTATTATTATTATTATTATTATTATTATTATTATTATTATTATTATTGTTATTATTATTATTATTATTATTATTATTATTATTATTATTATTATTATTATCATTATTATCATTATTATTATTATTATTATTATTGTTATTATCATTATCATTATTATTATTATTATTATTATTATTATTATCATCCTCATCCTCATCATCAATTATTATTGATAATAATAATAATAACATTATTATTATTATTATTATTATTATTGTTATTATTATTATTATTATTATTATTATCATTATTATCATTATTATTATCACTATTATCATTATTATTATTATTATCATTATTATTATTATTATCATTATCATTATTATCATTATTATCATTATCATCATTATTATCATCATTATTATTATCATTATTCTCATTATTATTATTATCATTATTATTATTATTGCTACTACTACTACAATAGTGCTGACTTCCTTATCATTGCTATTATATTTGTGACATATAATAACTCTATATAACTCTACCGTAAGCATGAGTCTTGCCGCTTATCACCGTTACTTCGGACATTAGCAGGTTTATCACTTTTCTTATGAATTTGCCAATGTAGCTTAGAACCCTTTTTATCGCTGTCATGATTATCTTCAGAAATAACTTGATATATATGACCTTACGTAGTTGTTATTATTGTTAATGGCTGTCATTGTTAAAGTCAGATGAAAATGTAGGATAGAATGAATGACATGTAAATATTTATTAAAGATGCCGTTTTAATTCAACGTCAAACTTGTCATATATATTTTTTTTTCCTTTTTTTTCCTTTTTTTTGTATTTATGTTAAGCGATTCTCGACCCTAGCGACAAGCGGTAGACCGTCGACTTGGCACAGAATCCGTTTTGTTTTTCTTCCATATTCCCCTGAATTTTAGGGTTTTGTATATTTCTAATTTTACTGAGTTACTTTCTACATATTCCTAGTTATTCATTATCACACATAACCTTTATTCGTCTATTCTTAGTCCTATTAATCTCTCCAGTCTAAATTTCTCCTAGGAAGATGTATATCAATAGTATCTATTTATCCACCGAGCTGAACTATTCTATTTAACATATCCAGTCGCCGAGAGAATCCAGCTATTCTAATCAATCTTTAATATCCAATTAATAGTCGAATTAATAGTCTCCGTATTTAACAGCTGTCCTAGTCGACGCTTCACCGCGACAATCAGCTGTGTGGTTGGGTCGCGCTGCTCGGGTTATTTCGCGATGAATGCGGTAAGATCTCGCCCTTTTTTGGGTCTCATGGCTGCTTGGGCGAGGGTGGAGAGGGAGGCTGGGGTGGCGTGAGGACCGTAGAGGAAGAGGGAGGGAGAGAAAAGGGAGAAAATCGAGAGGAAGAGAGAGAGAGAGTTTTCCTATTTTCCGAGGATTTCTGTTTTCAGGGTTTGTTTGTTCTCCTTCTTCTTCTCTTTCCTTTTCGGTTTGTTTTCGCGAGAGGGCTGGTCAGGGAGGGTGTTCTGGCGAGCCTCATGTTAGGGGGGAGCTTAGGAAGGGAGAAGGAGAACGAAAGAGTGAAAGAAATGGACCAGGAAGGAAAGAAAAAAAAAAAGATAAAATAAACAACACGGCATAGGTTTCCTACTCTTTTTTAATTCTGTGAATTGCTCTGTCCGAACGTTTTCCAAGTAAACGAAAACACCTGATGATCGAAGAAATTGCATTGAGAACAGAGAGAGGCAATGGATATGGCAATAATTATGGCAATTAGCAAGGGAACGTAATATGGAAAATGAGTCATTGTTTACATTTTGAAGAGTGAGATCAAATGAATTCTTGGGAGGCATTAGGGATTCAGTCTGACCCAATATGACTGCAACTGAGCTTAACTAAGGTGTCAGTTTCAGCTGAGCGTCATGCCTGGCATTTCTTGTGCCTTGGGATGTAATTTTGATTATACTGTACGCTTATTCCTCTTCCACTGGATTTACTTCTTGTCGGATTGAGGAGAATTGACGCAGAATGAAGTAGAGCATTATAGAAATGGCATTTAGGTGGTTTATAAGGTTATTAATGTGTTAATAGATATCCTGAAAGATCTCTATATGGGATTGTCACTAAACGGAAAAAAAAGTGTTTCCCTGTTGTGAATTAATAGCTTTGTTTGCAAGGTATTCATGTAACTGACAGCCACACCTGTTACTTGCATGAGTAAGCCTCCACCAAACATATTCTAGCAAGATAGAGCTTGTAGTTCCCTGTGAGTTTATTGTCAAATAAGGAACTGGGTTAAGCTCCTCTTGCCAGAATAAATCAGATGAAGGTCTAGCCAAAGGTGGGGAGGCACCAGCTGTTGCGTTGACATAATGCTGTACTTACCGTGGTCAAGAGTGGTAGATAGAAGTTTCCTATCTAGGCTTGTGAAGTTGTAGGTTATTTATTCATTTATTCATTTATTTTCCAAGATGGTTACTCTGTCCTTACATATTACTTGAGTGTAATACAAGAATTAAATCTCAGAAAGGCATCTTTAGGTAGTTGCAGTGGTGTCAGGAGTCTTATTATATTGATAACTACTATGAAGACATATCATTACAAAAAAAAAAAATTGAAGGTGTGTGAGTCTGTCTGAAAGTCAATGTTCCTTTGTTTTTGTTTTTTAATACTAATATCCTTGTTGCAGAGTGTGGTTTACCCAATTCACGGCCGACACAGCCCAGATATGTCGCTACAGGATGTTTTACCAGATTCAGCACAAGATCCAGAAGATGCACAATTGTCCCAGAATGCAGCCTCTCCAACACGTGAAGATGACGATCCTCCAAGCCCACCCTGCGCTCCAGGGTCGCCCGAGCAGGAAATTGTCGATGTGGAATCTTACCAGCCCTGCGTTGTCGACCTCACGTGCGAAGACGAGGACGAGGATGTTGTGGAATTCGTGTCTCAAGAGCAGCCAGTTATTGTGAGTTACCTTATTTCCTCTTGGTTCCTTTAGATGAGATTCTTATTTTTGTTTGCTAATAGTATTTCCTTTATATTTCCTATGTTTTATTTCAGTTCTTTTTTTTATCACTTGGTGTTTTCAGGTGATATTACATAGAATACCCACTTTATGATTATACTTATTGTTCCCATGAGTGAAACTAAGAAATCTGGTAAGAGGACATACAGGAAAATGAGTCATTATTCTATAGAGTTTACAGTGTATTTTTTTGTGAAGGGTATTGTTTGAATGATACACAGTTTATTTGTTCTTGTGGGGCTCAATATTTTACATATCTGCAATACCCACTCTTGTTCTTCAGACTATCCTTCTGCTGTCATTTATACTACCTTTTATGTCATTCTGATCCTCAACATTTTTATGATTTTCTCTCCCTCTCCTTCTCCTTGTACCTCTTCTTCTCCACTCCTCTCTCTTCTCTCTCCTATTCTCCCACCCACCCCCGTCTTCCTTTTTTACTCTACCGCTACGTTTAATTCTGTTTTTCTCTCTCCCTTCCTCAATCTCTCATAAAATTATGCAGATAGTAAAGTATGTTGTCCTGCTCAAGAACACCATGAACCGAAACAAGTGTAATGTTAATGTGTATCATTTAGTCCCTGTTATTTACTGTAGAAATTTTGAAATAGCTTATGCAAGTTATTTTGACACATTTAATATTCAAAAAAATTATTTATATTATCAGAACTCATGTATCAGCATTAACCTACACACAAGTGGTAGACACACTTTCCTCACAGCTGTGTAATTCTATAGAGAGTATGACTGAACTATTATTGATTTTTGTCTAGACACCATCTGAGAGAAGGTGATAATAGATTCTAGTATTTTGTGTATCAAAAATTCAGTTCTAATGCACATGAGTAGTAACATCATCTTGTCCTGAATATTATGCTGTATTTCAAATTCACAACTCTTATTAACCTATTCATGACAAGATCCTTGGAGTTTGATACACCCACATTTGTGGGTGAAATCTGTAACAGCAAGTAAAGCTGAATTGCAATCTCAACATGTTGTAATGGTTGCAAGTTTTAACATAAATTCCAGACTCTCTAATTATGCAAAATCTGCTAAGCCAGATTTTGCATAATTAGAAGGTAGATTTCTCAAAATCTGTGTAGCCCATTGCTGTGCTGCCAGGCCTTGAAGCAGTTGTAAGTACAGAGACCTACAATGGCAGTAGGTCCTTGTATTCTTTCTGACTCTCTAACTGGAACACCAGTGGCACCTCCTCCTCTTGCTGTCTAGAATCTGCATCACAACATGCTGCCACCACTCCAATGTCTGCTTTACTATCACAGGCAAGTGCATCTCTGTCCTTTTCCTCAAAGGGTCAGCTCCAGTCCAGAAGTCCCCAGGAGGGCCTAGGAGAGCTCCAGCCAAAGTGCCTACCGGATGGTCGTTTCCTCTATAGCATGCTGGACAGTCATGGTGTTGATGATTGCAAGATTGAACAGGAAGCAGAAAATCTTCTCATACCACACCCTGGACCTTTGTGTCATCAGCTAGTAAGACGCCATCTGATCCCCAATATCGATACACTTCATGAAAATGTAATCAGTACCACAACCGGGTCTCCCCATCCATCACAGCAGTATGGACTGTCAACAACATGGTGTGATTGGTGCAGTCCTTCCACACCAAGGCCAGCATACTTATCTTCCTGCTGCAGTATCTACATCATCCACCCTCTCACACTGAGATCCCTGGGTATAAACTTCCCTCCAGACTCCAGCAGCTGCAGCACCGGTGGATAAGGGCATGTCACTTCAGGCCTGCCCAGTCTACACATGGAAACAGAAGGTATACCTAGCCACGGGGCTGCTGCTGGCAGAAAGCTAATACATCTACAGCCCAAACATCACCTTTTTACTTGGGTAGAAAATCTTGAAAGCCAATTACCCACAGAATTTTCACAACAACTCTGATGGCAATGTCCCTCTCCAGCATGGATCTCGAGAGGAGTGAGGGGTTAAAGGTATGCAAAACTGGTCAGAGCTTCCACAACCTCTCTTCCAGGAGTGGAATTGGGCGAACCTTTCTGTCAGCATGACCTATACAAAGATGTCACTCCACTGGAAGAGATGAGTCAACTAGTAGTGCGGTAACAGGGGTGCAGTGTACCTCCATCACAACACATATAACAAGGTATGCACAGACATCCTGAATGGAGGTCTATGGTCTTGTGTTCATGTGAGGTAAGGTAGCATGAGTGTAGACAGCCACATACTTGTGGGAATTAGGAAAAAATGTAAATAATACACTATGATTTCTCAGTAAAAGAGATGTTTCCTTGATATGAGGGAACACAAAAACAAGTTACAAAACACCATTTTGTATCTCTAATAGTGAGGTCCAAGATATCATCAGTGAAAAATCACAGAAAGATCTTGAAGGGTGTGCTGGACACATTTAGAACTACCAGCAAACCCCAAAACCTGGGGACATTGTTCTTTTGCTGCTATAGAAAGAATGTGAATCCCAGAGCATGGCATTCCCACACTAGAGGAGTGGCTTCTCACTGTTGAGCATGGTGTCTACGTGGCTGACAAAATCTTGACTGGAAGAAGGCAGAGATTGGCACAGTGGACAGCACAGAGGCATCTTGATAGCTAGAAATGAATGAGGTGCAAACACCCCCATACAGTCTGGAAAATTCCCACTCTCTGATCTGACTGGAAATGGAACCATTGGTAAGCAATGAGGTCAAGGCCAGTTGGATCATTTGTCCTATAACATGACCAATCACATCAAAGCCTTCTGTATGACATCAGTTACTACTGTGTAGAAGTAAAGGTGAGAGCTGTAAAAGGACTTCACTTCCTTTTTATTTCATATTGGAGATGAGTTTATGATATGAATTCCAGCTGTATATAAATAAAAATAGGATATTTTCTTAGAAATATCAATAGACCTAGTAGATGTTATTCAGGTCCATATATTATCTCACTCAAGACAGAACAAGGCAGAACACTGAGAATATAAGCATCTCACATATGGGATGCCAGGCATTGGTATCTTTTCCAGTGGGTTAATGATAGTAGCTTATCACCTAAAGCCTTTAGATCCAATGCTCTATTTACAAGATCTGTTTAGAGAGAGAGAGAGAGAGAGAGAGAGAGAGAGACACAGAGAGAGAGAAGATTATTAAATTGCTTCTGCTTTAATTTTGCTTGGGAGGCATGATAAGCCTCATTTTTCTTTCCGTTCTTTCTATATTCCATGCACTTTACTTACCACAGACAGGGTGAGTAGAATATATAAACTCCCAAAGCACCTTATCAGCTGATGTGACTATCATGCTCATTCAGCAGATGGAACTGAAGTACATTGTACAATAATGCCATAGACACTTAAACATCTGGGTGCCTGACATGAAACAGAAGTCAGTATCCTGGCACTGATAGGTTGTGAGTAGGCCAGAGAGCCTAACTTACTCCACCCACTATATGGTCAATTAAGAACCTTACACTATACAACTTGCTTATAATATCTTAGACTGGATCCAGCAGTTGTTTCATAAGTGGAAGCCTTTAATATTGCTGTCTGCACATGCCACAAAATCTGACCTTTAGACTTCCTTGAGCATTGACTCTCCCAGGTGTGTGGCTTTTAGGACCACGCAAATACTTGTGTGCAGTGTCAAGAATCCTTTCCTCCCCATTGCAGTTATTATTATCTCTTTCTGTATAAGCATTTTTTCCAGCTTTGCCATGTTTCAAGTTCAACATTTGTCATTTGATATGCTGTAACAAGATGGTAATAGGCAATAATAGTAACAATGATTAACATTTTGTTATTTAAAGGAATAGGCTAGAACTGGTGCATTATTTTGCATCCACAGTTGGCCTAGGTTAATATTTATCCATTAATAAAATCAAATTGAAAATTTAGACCCGGATAATGAAAATAAACATGATTTTGTAAGCCCACAAAATTCGTCTGCCTCAAAAACGACCAGTGGCGCCACCACTAGTCGCGTGACATGATACCATGTATAGCCATTGTCCAACAACATGGTGAGCAACAAGAATTACAGCAGTTCCAGTGAAGTTAAAAGTGAAAGATCTATTGATTCTGTGTCTACAGAATCAATAGATCTTACTGGTGATGAACTAGAAGATAGGGAGCTGGAAGTAGGAGGAGAATTGGTGAAAGGATACCAATTTGAGCCATGTTATAGCGCCGAATCTGATGACTCGTCTTCTTCCTTCATTAACTTTATGCGCATCCAATTCTCAATTTGATCGGAATCAAAATGATCGGCACCCAACCGCAACGTCCCTTTACTGAATATAAAATCTTTCCGAGTACGGCTAACCAAACTACACCAAAATCGGAAGTGGTCCGGCAATCTCTCCCGATCCGGAAACTCAAACACTCCAATATTGTCTTTCAGTTTGGATTTATCACATCCTCACGCTGCACATCGAGTGCCTCCATCTTTCCTCTGTCGTTTGGTAGTTCCCTGCGGGCTAAAATTGTCACCAGACATTGGAATTTGTCACAATAAATGCACAATACCACATGAATGCACGCCAGCTGTCCACTTTGTTTACTGGAATAATGGTTGATCTCCTGACCCATATACATGGTGCTACGTCACACCTGTATGGGGGCGCCACCGGCAACATTTTGTAGCAGATGGATTTCAGGAGCAAAAATGCTAGATAAAAAGGGCTATAAAGTCAGTGTTGTGAATGAATTTACAAAATGATGCCTTGGGATGTTTATTTAGATTATTTATTTTGCAATTACAGTAAAAATAACCACATTCTACTACCCTCTGGGCTATTCCTTTAAGTCATTTCTTAGAATTTTTCTTTTAAAGAATTTTCTGTAGTACACCCTGCTTTTTCAGTTTTGACAGGCAGGAATAGGGTCCTGAACTTGGATGTAGTCTCCTCCCTGGAACTGGCACTCTTATGGCCATGGTTCGCATATGGTACATTCCACTCATTTACTAGTGGGAATAATGCAAGAGCCTCTACCTAAATGCCCATTGAAGCTAATCTTTCCAAGACTTTGTGCACTTTTGATGAGTCATTCTTGTCACCCCGGCCCTCAGCCCAATTTTTCCATGACAGTATATTCCAGTCACCCAGCCTTGACCTAAATTTGTTCATGATGTGATTGTCACATTCCCCAGATCCAGTGGGTTAAACATTGACTACACCCCCAAAGCAAAGATACATAAACAATTTTACCAGTTCTATTAATAGTTGTGCTCAAATTGGTAATGAAATGCTGATGATCTCAACGTGGAGAGCTGACCCTCCCTTCTTCCCCCCCCCCCCCCTCCTACAATTCTCCCCCCACCTCCCCTGGAACATCCTGGACCTGCCACTGTGTCTTTTTTAAAGAGATATTTTCTGGAATTCTGAAGAAAGATGGATGTATAATGTTCAGCAAGATAATTTGTCTGAAAGTCATATTAACCTCATGTCACCAAGAAAATGTAGTGTATATAGTACAAAGGTGGCTCCAAAAGTACCGCTAAAGAATCCATGGATGGGTATAAAGGGGTTTGTGACAATCAGATAAAAATGAACACTTGTATTAGTGTGGTTCTCTAAATAGTTTACTTTAAAGTTTAATAGTACTTTGTGTATTAAATCTCAATAAAAAAAATACTTTATACACATTGCTGGCAAAGTTGTGTTTATATGAATATTTCTGGGGAAGAGGGTCCTTAGCTTTCATCAGATTTTAAAAGGTGTCAAAGACTCTAAAAAGGTTAATAACCACTGGCTATGCCACAAGGGAGTCAATTGGTAGACCTTGTGACCTCACCTGATCTCACCTTTCCTTGAGTTCTTGGGAAAAATATTTGTTTTACTGGTACTGTCAATATCAATGCTGTTATTATTATAGACATTACAATTATTATAATGTTATTGACATTGCTAACATATAAGATAAAAGAAAATATTTTCAAAAATCAAGGAAAAGGGTAAACAGGTGTGAATGGTAGTACTAGTAATTGGTTCATTGGTGGCAAAGTACAGATAGTCCCCTACTTAAGAACATTCGACTTATGAACATTCCATATATACAAACAAAATTTTTTAAGTACTAAAGTCCAAAAAATTGTTTGAAAGATGCTAGCAAACTTCAAATTTCCCGGGCACGAATATAGTTCAAAAGTTTGGTACTGTATAAGGTATGTTGTACTTAATGGGATTTATTTACAGGTATTCTTAATGTAAACAAAACTTTAAAAGAATGGGAAAAAAGGTAATGGAGACCTGACTTTCGACATACAAACAAATCAACTTACAAACAACCTCTCAGTCCCCATTATGTTCTTAAGTTGGGGACTTATTGTACTTGTGCAGCCATCTATGCATAAAAACAGTTAATAAGCTGAATTCACAATGGGCATGGGATGTATGTACATGCCATCCCTAGTGGCAGTGGGTTAATTATAGTATTAGAAAAAAATAAAATTATTATAAAAAATGGGACTTCATGTAATCTAGAAGCTTCACAAGAAGTCATACTTGTGTGTAATACACATAATTACCTATTAGTACTCCACGAGATAGATCAGTACATGAAGTACCCGCCATTTCAAAACTAAAAGCAAAGAAGGGAAATACCATATTCAGTGTATAAAACTAGAAAGGAAATGTAATTCACCTTTTTGGTCCATTCATAAATGTTTCTTCATGGGAAAAGGGGAAAGAAAATAGATCATCCCGTGGGATAATGAAGTAGTATTTGTAGTAAAATTTGCATATGTTAGTATAATTTTTTTGTACTAACAAAGGTGCATTTTACAGATTTAAACATTTTCAGTATGTATGTTTTCAGTAGATTGAGTATTACATTTGAATAAATTCCAATACCAAACTAATGTGAAATTCTCAAAAGAAAAGGAACTAAGAATTTTTAGTCACTTAAAAATAATAATAGAAGTGACACTAAAAGATATAATACCTGTTTGTGCAATAAGATTTGAGTTATTCTTTACCAAATTAAGCTTTGTGTGTGTAATATATGAGAAACTGAGGAAAATGCACCTACATCTTAACAGATGCCTAAGAATTTTTAGTCACTTAAAAATGTTAATAAAAAATGACACTAAAAGATATAATACCTGTTTGTGCAATTAGATTTGAGTTATTCTTTACCAAATTAACCAAAGTGTGATTTTGTTGAAAGCAAAGTTGAAAATGATAAATATTGTGCATCCATTTTATTCTATAATATTTATAATCCAGTTATCTGAGTATCATCATAATCCTCATGCTTTTACCTGGACCGATATGAACCGAGAAGGAACATAGTAAAATTGGTTCAGTGAAATAGCCATAAGGATTATTATTTCTTACAGACTTATTATGTTTTGTTCATATTAAATAATTAATATTTCTCGTAGATTAATGTTTGCTTATGTTAACTAAGGATTATTTCTTATAGATTAATGTTTTTTTTATATATTAACCAATGATTATTTCTCATAGATTTAAGTATTGTGTATATTGACTGATGATTATTTTCTTATAAATGTATTAGGTTTTGTGTATGTTTACCCTTTGTTCACAAATTTTGCATACACATACATGGTTCCACAGGAGCTTAGTCTGTTTAGCCATCAAAGAGTCACTTACTTATTGTTCTTGATCTGATCCCTTATCATTTTCCTAGATTTTTAAAAAAGAATATGATTTTTTAGTTCTTATTGTTCTTGGTACTGATAACATTATAATCCTTGTGATTTATGGTTTATGCCCTTGTACTGGAACTTAATTTTTTGTTATTGTGATTAATTCTTTAAAAATATGTGTATTCAAAACCTGTCTCATTCTCATAGTTCTTAAAGGGTAATGTTAGGTGTGCCAAGAACTTTACTCAGTCTTAAGAATGTAAAGTGTCTTGGTATATTTTCTTAAAGCTGTTTTACAAGTTTTGATTCTGTGATTACACAAATCATGCAAATCTGAATGTTTAATATTTGAAATGAAAACCCTGGGTTTACCCCTTTCTTTTTATACATGTGTGAACTTTTCGTTTTTCCCTATTTTAGATGTGTAATCTCCCCCCCCCCCCCTTCTGTCTCTCTCTCTCTCTCTCTCTCTCTCTATCTCTCTCTCTCTCTCTCTCTCTCTCTCTCTCTCTCTCTCTCTCTCTCTCTCTCTCTCTCTCTCTCTCTCTCTCTCTCTCTCTCTCTCTTTCTCCCTCTCTCTTTCTTTCTCCTCTCTTTCTCTCTCTTCTTCCTTTCTCCCCTCTCTCCCCTTCTCTCCCCTTCTTTCCCCCCTCTCCCTTCCTCCCACCCTTCCCTCTAGAATCAGATAATATAAGCCATTACCTTTCAGTATCTGGGAACAGAGCAGAGAAGAATGGAGAGAAGAAGGAACACCAGTGGGAATGACACCCCCCTTGAAGTCATAGAGGACCTGACTACAGACAGACAACACAACCCCATTGAGAACATTAATGAAGACATCAACATAAATACCCTCCCTTTTGAGAGGCAACAGAACCACTGGCCGTTCGAGTCCCAGGGCGTTGATTTCCACAATCCAGATCTCCTGTTTGGCAACCTCTTAAGAGAACTACCCGTGGAAACTGTCGAAGATAATCCACGAGCCAGGCCGAGTGTGTTGGTGCCAAGGTTACCCAGGGAGCAGCGGCATTCTTTCAGGCGTATGTATACTTGTGTTCCGTCAGATGTGGTGTTTCCCCTTTCATTTTCTTATCGGTATCCTTTTTTGTATCTTAACCCCTTTTTCTCTGTCTCCCCCATCCCTTTTCTCCTCCTTCATTTTATTATTATTATTATTATTATTATTATTATTATTATCATCATCATCAACAAACCACCACCTTTTGCCTTCTTCTCCTTCCTCCTCCTGTCTGAAATTATAAAATACATGTTGGGTATGTAATTAATCAGTATTGAAGTAGGGCATTTGAATGAATATAGATAGATTTATATTTAATTTATATTTTCTTTTTTTCATCATATGTTAGGAAGTATTGATAATTGCCTAGTGTCTGGGATGATATCATTCAAAGACTGATATTTGCAAAATGCCTTGTTTGTTTTTAAGTGTTTGAGAATCATTTTCAGAAAAAAAAAGAATTACCTGACAGTCAGAATTTTAAAAGAATATTTCCTACAATTCACACTACCTGTGAAGACATACATTTTGACATGAACAACACTTTTTTGAAATTGTTTGTGTCATAGACTCTCTTCTATCCACTTCTTGTCATGTTGTTGTGGATATTTATTCAGTATATACTTAAATCTATCAGACACCCCGTATGGCACCCTAGTTCAAGTGAGATAAACTGCTTCCACTAGAAGCCACCAAAGCAGTGGTTAAAGCTATGTCATTATTTCTTTATTTCTATGGAATGAAAAGCCAAATTTAGTGAGGCATGTATCAATACTCATAAAGGAACAAGAAAACTAAAATATGTACTAGCCACCAGGTGAGTGCTTACTCATTAGGTATGAGTGTGTGAGTGTGATTAGTGTTCATACACTGAAATGAAACTGTGAATGTTGTGACAGTTTAGATCCCATTTTTGAGAAGTCGGCTATAACCTTTTTACAACAGAACAATGCACTGTTTTGTTTATTAAAAAGTAGTTGCAAGATTGATGATACACCTGACTGGCCAGGGAATTCTCCTGACCTTTTCCCAAGCGAAAACATTTGGGATATCTTAAAGTTACACATTAATTCCCCATAAAGTGTCAACAAACTCCAAATTTAAGGCTGCTGTGTTAGCTGCCTAGTAGTCCATTGCTGTCCTCTGCAATAGACTTGCAGATTCATTGTTTAGAGACTCAACCTAATGAAGGTAAAGAATTATTTTTTTTTTTATATATATATAATTTAGTTTGATTCCATTTGTTACAATGGATATTCTTGCTGTGACATACTGTCTGTTTTTGCTTCTAAATTATCCCCTGTGTGCAAGGAATGGCCGGGGTTACCATCCACTGGTGGCGAGGGATTCGAACGCAGGTCAGCAAGATTGCTAGACAAGATCACTACTGCTGCACCACTAGGTGGAACTAGGTTATAGAGTTGCTTTTGGTAACTACTTTAACCCAATGCCTCCGGGGAAAATGAACAAAAAATGGGGAAAATGTTGTGCCCACTTTCTATGTTTTTCGTGAAATGTCTGCCGATAGATGGTTCTGCTAGCGCCTGATTTGAAATGGCGGGGAAAATGTATTTTTCACTAGTACCATGAAAATCGATAGTGTTATTTTTATCATAAACATAATGTTTTTTAACATTAGTAACAGCAAAATAAGATAACATAAAATATTTCGTAAATCAAAGAAACGGGTAAACTGGCGAGACGGGCGGTACTCGTAACTGGCTCATTGGTGATTTAGTACAAGTGTTGCCACCTATGCGTAAAAACAATCAAACAAGTACTCACAGTGGGCATAGCACGTACATACACGTCATACCCATTGGTATTGGGTTAAAAAAAGGTTCTTGAAATTTTCACATAGTATGATCTCCACCTTAGGAGTGAACATTTGAATGGAATATGCTTTATAGTAGTGGACAAAGGTATTATGAAGCTATTTAAGACAGTAACTCAATACTTCTGACTAAAGAGTGGCATTCTTTAAGATGAACAAAAGTACTGTGTCACCATCATAACATCACAGCGTTTGCAGGACACCCCAGCCCATGCATTTATTTCTTCACAGGTTGACTGCCGGT